CTTCAAATTAACTTTTGGGGCGTGTAGTGGTTAGAAAGCATATATATGATTTACTACGTTTATGTTAAATGAAAAAACAACACACAGTCTTCATAAAATTCTTGCTGGTTTTTTTATTTTTGGTAATAAAATTCTTGCACTTTTATTTTTGGGTATTTTCATATGATTTGTCTTCTCTCTTCGAAACTATACAACCAATAATTGAGACTTGTGGGTGTGTCGAGTAATGAAATTGAAAAACGGAATCAGAGTCATCGACATAAAAGATAGCATGAGAAACCATGATTTGATGCAATGTCTTTGGCACAGGTTTCCTTGCCCCCTGCCAATAATACGATATCCATGATTTTGTAATTTTTGTAAAGAATGAGTCAAGCATGAAGTTTTTTTTATTTATTGTAGAAATATCATTTTCCTAAAAAAAAAAATGTTTGTCATTTTAAAAAACTGTCATTTTAGTAAAAAATATTGTTTTATTTAATATTTAAATTAAAAAAACTTCCACCTTTTCCCTATGATTTATGTTTCTCTCATTATAAAATACTTGTAATTTCACTTAAAATAACATAATTTTATGTCTTTTAAAAGAATAAATACTCTAAACAAATTACAAAAGGAAAATACTAATCCCAAAAAAAAGAAACCATTTGTCAATGCGCTTCAAATTATTGCATCTAATTAATTTCTAACTATATGTATGTTTGCAGCGATGTTTGAGTCATAACGAAAACGAAATCACAACGTCGGCCTGCTAAAATTTTGTGGGAGACTATAATATAGGTTATATTGTACCCACTCATGAATTAACATGCACATAATTTACATCATATTCATACTAATCCTTTATTTGACTTGTTATGCTTTACATCACTGTTTTCAGAATATCATTTTCATTAAATTATGTCACTTATGCTTATTTATAAGTCTAAATTGATTGCGTGCCATGTATTCTTATCTTATTTTTATTTTTTATAACAAGCTTGTATTTCTAGAATATTCAGGATTCATATTCAACCTGTATTATTATAATATCTTTTGCGATGCTTAACAATACGTGTCACTCATAGTTCATGTATTTAGTCTCTTTAAATTGGACACAATTTTTTTTGGACATAATTAACAAAGTTAGTAAGCTTCTAAACAATATATATTGGCAAACGGCATGCTTTTGACTCGTTAGATGACACTATATATAGTATTATCTTAGGGTTAGAACGTCAATTACAAATTATAAAAGAAAATATTCATTTTCAAGTCTACGAAATTGCTTAGAATAATCCTAAGAATCAAACCATAATTTAATTATAACCAAAAAGTACAAATAGAAAAAGCAAATGCATCATTAGTGACAAATTAATACAATCATTATTCAATCATATACTAATGGATAAAAAATGTGATGAGATGATTCCACTCAAAAACCTTTTGGTAGGATTTGAATCTGTACACTTCAATAGTACAGAACTTTGTTGAAAACTTATGTTTCCTGCATAGGCATTCTATGTTAATTATAACATAATATATAATATTAAAAATTAAAATATAAAAGAAATTAAGAATCTCTTCAATAGAATTTTGCGAATTCCAGATCCAAGTTCATGAAGGATGAATTAGGCGGCCACACCCACGCGATTACGAACAAACATGTACCAAGAACTTTGATGTTATAAAGCAAGTTATAATAAATTGAGGGTTCGGTGTTTGTCCTTTTATAAACGACAGAGAATTGTGTCATTTTAAGTAAAAGAAAGAGATACAAGATGAAAAGCATACGCGAAAAAAGTGAGTAATTTTTTTAATTTAATTTTAAATAAAAAATACTAGTTTTAATTAAAATGACCATTCTTTAACGAGTAAGGATATTCTAACTATCAAAATTTTTTACTACTAACTTACTACTCATCACATCACCATTGGATCAAAGAGAGAAAATATTAAAAAGTTTTTGAAAAGAGAGAAAATGTTAATCTAATGGTATTTAAATAGGTAGTAAGTTAGTAGTGAAAAATTTTGGTAGTGAGAATATTCCTCCTCTTTTTTAACATGACAAACATTTTTACCATAAATAAATAATTGCCTTTAATCGTAGGTTCTTTCTTCATACAATATGTAGTTAATAATATACAAATTTTGAAGTCTAAACTATGAAAGACAAAAAAAATATAAAAATGGACATTTCATCATGAACATTGAAAATACCGTTAATGGATCAGATTAATAAGAAGCACATTGTGATGATTCGAATATTGAAAAGCATAACCCCAGTTAGTAATAAACGCCTCGAGTTTATGATAACTGAAATTGGGACAATGTTATCTTGTTGTGTTTGAAATGCAGACAACATTCTGATTTAGCAACGTTAGATATTAAGATTATTGTCAGCATCAGACGGATTCTTCCATGGGAATATCTCATGATCCAATGTTGACATGTGTTGGACATAACAGTGAAACTCTAGTAATAATCGAGACACGGTGGATAATAGTATCTACTTGTCGTTACTCTTCAGAGTTCTGGTCTTTTTGGAAGCTTGGACCCTTCTTTTTATATATTAATGCAATGAGCTCAGCTATTTGCAACTGGAACCACGTCCTCTTCTCTAAACACACTCTTTCAATTCCTCACACGCCATTTGGCATCCACTGGGAACAACAAAATATGTTCCATGACCACTGAGGTAACTATTATAACTACTTCTCTTCTCTTTGCTCTTTATCCTTTCTTGCTTATTATAGCCATTTATGGTTTCACGCATCGCCAAGCCTCTGATCATATCAACATCAACATGTTCCATGCATCTTTCAAGTTTACGATTTTATGCTGATCATGTCATTGCATGCAAGTGTTGCATGCAATGCTCTTGTTAAATTACAGACAAGTCCTCATCAAGACTGATATATAATACACTCGATCCACGCATCTCATCTCTTAAGGTATCTGTTACTTAGCTTCTCTCCTCTCAAAACATTTCTACAATTTCTTGACATCAAATGAGTAAAAAAAATGGTAAAAATTATCTTCTCTAAATTCAGCAACTTCCCATAAGGAAAGAAAACAAACACCTTGCTTAGAAAATAGCTTTTTTTCTTATTTCAACTCTTGTCATTTCGTTGTGTTTCTTAGCTGTTTTTGTTATTTTGTATCAAAGAATTCTGTTAGTTAGAGGCCATATGCTCTGGAGATGATTAATATGGATTTTTATGTTATTTATAATATATCACACCACAACTCTCAATTACTTAATCATGGGGTAATTGGAATAAATCAGAGCTTCGTATTAAATCTTCTTAAGGTTTCTCAAAAGTCAGTTTCTGATTGTCTAGTTATTCTGTGCTAATTCCTAACAACACTTTTGAGTCTACAAAGTCCTGCCTCTTCATACTGTCAGAAGAGAAAGCCTTTGAGCATTGAACCTTGCTTCTGAATTATGTTGAATGCAGTCTTTGTTTTGAGTTAGTCAACTGATCTCAACAACTTCTACAGATTCCAAAGTTTTCAATTCAGAGATGGATCTGGAAATATCAATGGAGGACCAATTCTCCAAGCTACATCCTTCCTTGCCAGTAAACACCAGAATTGGAATAGTGGGAGCTGGTCCAAGTGGCATATCAGCTGCTTATGCACTGGCTAGACTTGGTTATAATAATATAACTGTCTTGGAGAAACATCATTCAGTTGGTGGCATGTGTGAATCAGTAGAAATTGAAGGTATATAACTATATCTTAATAGCACTCTCTACCTGATTCAATTGACTATGAAATATAACTGTATATGATTATGCAGGAAAAGTTTATGATCTTGGTGGGCAAGTTCTGGCTGCAAGCAGTGCTCCAGTCATCTTTCAATTGGCAAAAGAGACAAGCTCTCCACTAGAAGAAATGGATTCCCACAAACTTGCTGTTATTAACAGCTCTGGACAATATCATGATATTAAAGTTGCTGATGATTATGTATCTGTTATGTCACTCACGTTGGGAATCCAAGTTAGTCTGCTTTTTGTTTTTCATACACACATAAAAAGAAAGTTGCATAGTTCCTATGACTTGAAAGTTGAAAGTTGAATGCTCATAATTCCCCTTGTGCTACTTACAGGAAAAGGTGAAGAATTCTGGTCGTTTTGGGGTCCATGCTGTTAGTGAAGTTGCTTCAGACTTGACTTTAGATTATCTGGAGCATCATGGACTCAAATCTGTTCCTAAATCTGTGGCTTATGGTTACACTGCTTCAGGATATGGATTCATTCAAGACATGCCTTATGCCTACATTCATGAATTTACCAGAACGTCCATGGCAGGAAAAATTAGAAGATTTAAAGGTGGATATACAAGTCTTTGGCAGAGGATTGTTGAATCACTTCCTGTAAAACTTCACTATAACACTGAAGTGTTGGCAATCAAGCGCAACTCTGACAGTGTCACTGTTAATGTCAAGAGCTCAAATGAAATTGAGACTGTGGAATTTGATAAGATCATAATATCTGGTAACTTTCCATTAAAATATGGAAGAACTTACAGATCGGTGCCTTCAACTTGCATAGGTATGCAAACTTCTCACTGCTTCATATTTACATGTTTTTTTTTTTGTTGTTGATTGCTTTAGCCAGAAAAATGATGAGGTAAGTCTTGTGGCAGGGTGTGAAACAGAAGTAATGGATGCAAGTGACCTTGAAAAGGATTTGTTCAGCAAAGTAGAGACAAATGATTATTACACCACTGTTTTAAAGATCAAAGGGTTGGAACATATCCCTGTTGGATTTTATTATTTTAATGAATATATGGAAGATCCAAGCACAATTGGAAATCCAGTTGCAATGCAGAAGTTTTATGCTGAAAGTAACATATTCTTGTTCTGGTCCTATGGCAACTCCGATGATGTTAAGGGTCCAATTGTCACTAAGCTTGCAATCAGCAATGTAGAATCCATGGGGGGAGAAGTTGAGAATGTCATTCTTCAACGTCGCTTTAAGTATTTTCCTCATGTTAGCAGCCAAGGTATTTAAGCAGTTTTTACATTCCATTTTCCTCTTTTCAAGTAATAATTCTAAATCTTGGAAAATTTGAATGCAGATATGAAAAGCGGATTCTATGAAAAGTTGGAATCAGAGCTTCAAGGTTCAAGGAATACTTATTATGTTGGTGGGCTTATGGCATTTGAGCTTACGGAGAGAAATTCATCTTATGCCATGGCTCTAATGTGCAAGAACTTTGCAAATAGCAGTGATTTGCCAGTGTTTCCTTACACCAAGGTAATTTGGCATTTATGTATTATAACGAGTCATTGGTTTGAATAATCTGGCTTTTTATGTACTTTGGGGACTCATGCTTTCCAAATGAACCCGAACTTACTAGAAACAACATTTCTTATGCAGAGTTTGTTTCCCTTGCAAACTGAGTTCCAGAAAAAGGAGCCTAAAGAGTTAGGTGAATTTCCAGGAGTGCAATTTCCCAATTTGCCTTCTTTGAATGGCTATTTGAAGTACTGGGGAACTCATTCAGTAACTCAAAACAAAACTCTTTATTCTTGGATAAATGAAGAAGGGGCAGTGGTAGGGAAGAGGACATACGAAGAACAACATGTAAATGCTTCTTGCATTGCACGTAAGCTCTTAACAAGCCAAAAGCCAATTATCAAGCCTGGTGACAAGGTTCTCCTAGTCTATGTTCCAGGTCTGGATTTCATTGATGCCTTCTTTGGATGCATAAGAGCTAGAGTTCTACCGGTCCCAGTTCTTCCCCCAGATCCCATGCAAAAAGGTGGACAATCACTTATGAAAATTGAGAATATTGCAAAGTCATGCGGCATAGTGGCAATTTTATCAACAGTAGCTTATCACTCAGCAGTCCGAGCAGGTTTAGTGAAAAACTTTATCACATTAACAGGAAAGCAAGGGAAATCCTCAGCTAGATGGCCGAATCTTCCATGGCTGCACACTGATACTTGGGTCAATAACTCAAGAAGTTTGGCTATGGAAGATGTAGATGATCAATGTGAAGAAGCTAAGCCTGATGATATATGTTTCTTGCAGTTTACATCAGGGTCAACTGGTGATGCTAAAGGAGTCATGATTAGCCATGGAGGGCTTATTCACAATGTGAAGTTGATGAGGAGTAGATACAAGAGCACCTCAAGGACAAAGCTAGTGAGCTGGCTTCCTCAGTATCATGACATGGGGCTGATTGGAGGACTTTTTACAGCTCTAGTTAGTGGTGGATCTGCATTTTTGTTTTCACCAATGACTTTTATCAAGAAACCACTCTTATGGCTTGAAACCATGAGCAAGTATCAAGCAACTCACAGTGCTGGCCCTAACTTTGCTTTTGAATTAGTGATTCGGAGGTTAGAATCCGACAAGGATAAGCTTCAGAAATTTGACCTTTCTTCCATGGTTTTTCTTATGGTCGCTGCTGAACCAGTGAGACAAAAGACTCTGAAAAGATTTCTTGAGCTAACCAGTCCTCTTGGCTTATCTCAAAAGGTGATGGCTCCTGGATTTGGCTTGGCAGAAAATTGCGTGTTTGTCAGTTGTGCATTTGGAGAAGGTAATCCTATTCTTGTTGACTGGCAGGGAAGAGTTTGTTGTGGTTATATTCACCATGGGGATGCAGATGTTGACATTAGAATAGTTGATCCAGAGAGTGGTGAAGAGCTTCAGGAAGATGGAAAGGAAGGAGAAATCTGGATCAGTAGTCCAAGTGCAGGAATTGGATACTGGGGAAAGGAAGATTTGAGTCAGAAAACTTTTAGGAATGAGCTTCAGGACAATCCTGGACGTATCTACACAAGAACTGGAGACTTGGGAAGAATCATAGATGGGAAGCTATTCATCACTGGAAGAATTAAGGATCTTATCATTGTTGCTGGAAGAAATATCTACTCAGCAGATGTTGAAAAGACAGTGGAGAGTTCATCAGAATTTCTTCGTCCTGGGTGCTGTGCTGTCATTGGTGTCCCTGAGGAAGTTTTATCAACAAAGGGGATTTCCTTGCCTGATGGCTCTGACCAGGTTGGCTTGGTTGTGATTGCAGAAGTTAGGGATGGTAAACCAGTTGGAAAAGATGTGATTGAGAGTATTCAGACTCGTGTGGCAGAAGAACATGGAGTCAGTATTGCTTCTGTCAAGTTAATCAAGCCTAGAACCATCAGCAAAACAACATCAGGGAAAATCAAGAGATTTGAATGTCTCAAACAGTTCGCTGATGAAACACTGAACTTGGTGCCACAACTTATTTTGACAAAGAAAACACTGGTAAGGTCATTTACTACAGGTACATGCAGAGAAGGAAGAACACCCCGGCCCCAGCTAAGGAGCTTTACACCTCTACCTATTAGTCCAAGAATCAGCAACAAGGAAATTGTAGAATTCTTGAAAAAGCTTATTTCTGAGCAGGCTGGAATCCCAATCAACAACATCTCAGTCACTGACAACATGTCAAGCTATGGAATTGATTCCATTAGTGTGGTTAAAGCAACTCAAAAGCTCTCGGATTTCCTGGGTGTGCCAGTTGCGGCTATAGATGTTTTCACTGCATCCTGCATTCAAGAATTGGCTAACTTCTCAGAGAATCTTCTGTTGAAGTATCAACCTCAGCCAAGGAGCACTGCACCTCTAACTAGTAGTCCAAGAATCAGCAACAAGGAAATTGTAGATTTCTTGAAAAAGCTTATTTCTGAGCAGGCTGGAATCTCAATCAACAACATCTCAGTCACAGACAACATGTCAACCTATGGAATTGATTCAATTGGTGTGGTTAAAGCAACTCAAAAACTCTCGGATTTCCTGGGAGTGCCAGTAGCAGCTATAGATGTTTTCACTGCATCCTGCATTCAAGAATTGGCTAACTTCTCAGAGAATCTTCTGTTGAAGCATCAACCTCAACTTATGAGCCATCCATACCATGCTCCAGAAGCTGAAATGGATTCTACCGAATTGGTTTTGGATGTGTCCAAGTCTCGCCAATGGGGTATCCGTTTACTTCAACTCCTAGCTCTTATTTATATTTCTACCATGCTGGTCTCTCCTGCTTATCTATCCATCATTGCTTTTCAAAGTTTCATCCCAAATGCCAGTGAATCAGTTTATGGAGTTCCCTGGTCAAACTATTTGATTTCCCTTACTTTGGCACCCCTTTCTTGGATCCTATGCATTGTTTCTACTTGCATTTGCATTTCAGTTTTTGGGAATTCTTTCTTGAGGCCAAACTATGCCCTTAGCCCCGAAATCCCCATCTATTCAATGGATTTTGTGAAGTGGTGGGCACTTTATAAAACTCAGGAAATTTCTTCCAAAGTTCTGGCAACACACCTCAGAGGAACAATGTTTCTGAAATACTGGTTTGAGATGCTTGGTGCAAGAATTGGATCCTCAGTTTTGCTTGACACAGTTGACATCACAGACCCGGCTCTAGTTTCAATTGGAGATGAAGCTGTCATTGCCGAAGGGGTTTTGGTTCAAAGCCATGAGGTAAAGAATGGACTTGTAAGTTTCTTTCCTATTAGGATCGGCAAAAATTCTTCAATTGGACCTTATGCTGTCATTCAAAAAGGAAGTGTTATTAAAGAAGGTGCTGAGGTACAACCCCTGCAGAAGGTTGAAGGAGGCCAACAGGTGCTCAAACCTGCTAAGCTTAATAATGTTAAAGAGGTAAGTTATACTTATACCTACCAAAATATTTTATATTCTAATGAATGCAGATTTTTCAAATAACTCATTTATTCTTTTGGTTAATGTAACTTCTTTAACTTTTAGGTTACATTGTAGTGCTAGTACTTATGAGAGCATTGCTATTCTTTTTTGAATACATTGGGAAACGAAGCATCTATTATCAACTACCCACCCTCACCACTAGGCTAGCCGTTGTGGCTGAGAAGAATTTCAGTGGTCTCGGATCACCATTTATTCAGTGATTCGGACTAATCAAAATCATACAACTAATGAAAAAAAAGAAGAAATAAAAAATAACTTTTTGCCCATGTGTCACTTTTTAAATAGAAGGACCACACGATACCTGGAGTACCAAAAAAAAATTCCCTTGTGGCGAGCATTGCTATTCTTTATTTGCAAAAAGCTCATTATTCCATATAATAACTCATGATATTAAATGCCACATGGCAATTGAAGCTTGGACTTGTAACTAATGTCTATTCATTTTTTTATTTCAGAATGCAGGGCTGCTCGTTACTACTAGCAAAACACAGTCTGATGCTATGTACCACTTTCTGGGGATCTATCTTATTGGTTTTCTCAGTTCCCTTGCTGCAGCTATTGCTTATTTCCTGTATATAAGGCTATTCCAGAAACCTGCATCACTCCAACACTTTTCATTTGTTTGCATATGTGGGGCCTTCCACTGGATCCCATTTACCATTATTGCATATGCTACCATGTTTTCTGATGTCCCTTCAAACCCCATTGTCTTTACCATTTCATTTACCTGCGCATACTTGCTTCATGGTCTTATACTCACCTCTCTCACCTCTGCTTTGACTCGTTTTCTCAAATTGAGTCAAAAGCAAACCCACTTTAAAACCTGGCTTCGAAATCAATTAACCATTTCTTGCCACCTTAGATTTGCAAAGCTTCTCTCAGGAACAGAAGCCTTCTGCATATACCTACGCCTTTTGGGTGCAAAAGTTGGAAAGCATTGTTCCATTAGAGCCATCAACCCAGTTTCAAACCCAGAGTTAATGTCAATTGGTGATGGTGTCCATCTTGGTGATTTTAGCCGCATAATCACTGGCTTCCATTATTCCAATGGATATACTTGTGGGAAAATAGAGGTCCAGGATAATTCAGTTGTTGGGAGTCAAAGCCTGATTCTCCCTGGTTCTCTTGTGGAAAATAATGTTATTCTGGGTGCACTTTCAGTTGCTCCAATGAATTCTATACTCCATGAGGGTAGCGTGTACATTGGATCTCAAACCCGAGTTGCTAGCAGGAACTCTTCAAATGCTCTAGATCAAAGGATAGAGGAGATGGACATGGAATACAAGAAAGTAGTT